TCGAAATTCAGCAATCAGGCGCCCACCTGAAGAACAAGGGAATACTTTTCAAGCTTCAGCAGGCAGGCGCCCACCTGGAGAACAAGGGAAGTGCAATTCAATTTTAGCTTTTAATTTTTAACATGCTGCACCCAGTTACCAAACTGGGGCAGAAATTTTCTTTGTTGTTTATTTTGTTGCAGTCAGGAGCCCATCTGAAGAACAAGGGAATATTTTTCAAGCGTCAGTAATCAGGAGCCCGCCTGGAGAATAAAGGCACATATTGCAAATTGCAGCAGTCAAACGTCACTCGGAGGAATGGTGAAACATCTACAATCACAATGCAAGGCAACAACGCAAGAATTCCAGTGGAAGAATACAAGTTCAAGGCAACACAAAGAGCAAGTTAGAAGACATAGATAGGACCTTTTTGTAACTCATAGCTTAGGCTAGCTTCTTTTTATTTTTGACACGGTGTAATAAGGAGGTCAGCGAGCAGTAGCAGCAACAACAGCAGTGAAATCACAGCTCTTGGTAGTCCCAGCTACCAGACCTTCCCGAACTACACTGACCTGATTCCTGTTTAGCCCAGGATATGTAGGCAACCTCTGAAGCAGGGTGCGGTCAAGCTTTTTCAAAAACTGCTTCACACGGAATATGCAGACGGGCAAAAATCGTTCATTTCTGCTCACTTGTCTTTGCACGAAAACTCTTCGTGTTTCCGGGCAAAGAGAGGCAACAACCATTAAGCTACAAAGTGGTATTTTCTTTTACAATAAGGATGAACAATTATTTTGTCTATATTCTAACCTTCAAAGTAATAGATTTAACACAGACAATTAATTTCGTCTTAACCGATGTCGGGAAGACTCGCTTCGGAATAAAGACATAAATTAAACGGCAAGGCCGTGAGGACATGTCTTGTTCTAATTCTTTCAAATAAATAAAAGTTTGTTATTTAATTTACTTCGTGTCACGACCCTAATCCCAAACCCGGTCGTGATGGCGGCTCTCGTGAAGACAAGGCCAGCCAGTTCAACCCAACTCATCTTTTAAAACAGTTAAACAACACATAATAGTTTTTAACATAATTTACTAACACAGAATAGCGGAAATAACGATAAAAATGGGGAAAATCCAACCCGACACAGCCCTAACCGGGGTGTCATAAGTCACGAGCATCTATGAATCCATAATACAGTCTGCTAAGTCATAAACCACTACATTTGTTTGAAAAGAACAGGAAAGATAGAGAGATAGAGACACGGGGCTGCGGACGTCAACAGCTACCTCGTAATCTCCGAAGAAGCCCGCTTGAAACTGGAGGAAATTAACACTCCGGAGCGGAACCTGATACGCCTGAATCTGCACACAGGGTGCAGGGAGTAAAGTGAGTACTCCAACTCAGTGAGTGATAAATGTAAACAATGACTGAAAGCAAGAAATCACGCAAGGCGCAAAGCATTCTATGATAAAGCAGTAAAAATCATTTAAAAGCAGTACAACCGGTGGAAATCCAATAAAATCCTCTTTCAACAAGTAAACAAGTACATGACAGATAATTTAAGGTACGGTAGATAAATAAAAGCTCGCCCCTCGGGCAACAACTCAGAACAATAACAGCCCCTCGGGCTCAATCTCACATCACACTGGGTACCCGCGCTCACTGGGGGTGTGCAGACTCCGGGAGGGGCCCCTTATGGCCCAAGCGCAATAACAAGCCATCTCGTGGCATCACAACTGGGCCCTCGGCCTCATATCAATCAAGCCACCTCGTGGCGTACATATCTCAGGCCTTCGGCCTCAAATCAATATCAATGTCTCCTCACAACGTAGGCCCTCGGCCTTACTCAGTCAAAAATACTCATAAGCCCCTTGGGCAATAGTAAAACAGTGTGTCTCAGCTCAAAACATCATTTAAAATATCATTTAAGTCTCAAACATGAGTAAAATCGGCTGAGTAGTAAAACAGTGGAAAAATACATGACTGAGTTCAATAAATACTTCAAACAGTGAGGAAAATATCAAGAAATGCCCCGAAGGGTTCAAATAATTGGCACGAAGCCCAAATAAGACATTCAGCCCAAATCATAGTGATAACAAATATGTTTTCGGTCAAATACGCGATAAAATCATCAACCGGGACGGACCAAGTTACAATCCCCAATAGTGTACGACCCCGCGCTCATCAACAGGCGTGTGTCCCACCTCAACATAGCACTACGATGTGCAAATTCGGGGTTTCAAACCCTCAGAACATCATTTACAAGCATTACCCACCTCGAACCGGCTAAATCCCTAGCTCGCGATGCCTTTGCCTCTCGAATCGGCCTCCACGCGCGTCGAATCTAACCAAAATCAGAACGAATACGTCACAATAGGCTAAGGGAACAAAACCCAAGTGAAAACAATCGAAAAATCTCAAAAATCCCAAAATTAGCAAAACCCGAGCCCCGGGCCCACTTCTCGAAACTCAGAAATTTTCACATCAACGGGTTCCTTATAATCCCACGAGTTCATACATATGAAAAACTATCAAATCCGACCTCAAATGGCCCTTCAAATCCCAATTTAAAATCTCAAAATCCCAAGCCCTAGTTCTTCCATTTTAGCTAGATTTCCATGAATTTCTAGGTTAATTACACAATAAAATCATATTTTTGGTTCATAGAACTTACCTCCAATCACTTCTCCTTGAATCCCTCTTCAATTTTCCTCAAAGAGCTCTCAAAATACTCAGCTATGGTGGAAAAATGGCTAAGACTCACGGATGAAATGTTTAAAAACTCACTGCCCAAGTCTAATTTCCTTCTATGCGATCGCGGGAAAATCTTCGCGATCGCGAAGCACAAAAACTCAGCTCCCAAAATTAACCCTATGCGAACGCAATGAAACCCATGCGATCGCAATGCTCCACAATATAACTCTACGCGATCGCGGACACTCATCCGCGTTCGCATTGAACAAAAACCATCCAGGATCCCCAGGTCCAATTTACTCTATGCGAACGCAGCACTGCCTACGCGTTCGCGAAGGCCAACCTCCCCAAACTATGCGATTGCATGCCAAACTCCGCGAACGCAAAGCACAAATGGACAGCCTCCTCAAAACCTCCTATGCGATCGCAAAGAACAAAGTTCTGCAACACTGAACCTGCAACTTTCTGCTATCTTTTAAGGCACGAAATGGTCCGATTGACCATCCGAAACTCACCCGAGGCCCTCGGGACCTCAACCAAACCTACCAACATAACCCATAACATCATTCATACTTGTTCCAATCATCAAAACACCTCAATCAACATCAAATTACTCAAAACTCATCGAATTCAAGCCTAAATTTCCAAAAACTTCCGAAATACATTTTCGATCAAAAACCCGACCAAACGACGTTCGAATGACCTGAAATTTTGCACACACATCCCAAATGACATAACGAAGCTACAGCAACTCTCGGAATTCCATTCCGACCCTTTGGATCAAAATCTCACCTACCAACCGGAAATGGCCAAAATATTAACTTCGCCAATTCAAGCCTAATTCTACACCGGACCTCCAAAACCAATTCCGATCACGCTCCTAAGTCACAAATCACCTCCCGAAGCTAACGAACCATCGGAACTCACATTCCAGCCCTCTAACTCATAAGTCAACATCCGGTTGACTTTTCCAACTTAAACCTTCTTAAAAGAGACTAAGTGTCTCCTTTCTTACCAAATCCACTCCGAACGCAAACTAAACAGCTCGATCACAAAAAACACGGATAACAAAGCATAAAGAAGCAAAAATGGGGAAAACGGACCGGTAACTCATGGGACGACCGGCCGGGTCGTCACACTTCGAGTAGGTTCCAATTCTTGATGCGACACACGAACTAAGGTCGGAGATACTCGTCTTGGATAGTGTAACCTAGGGTCAGGGATACTCTTCAGAGTTTGAATTAATAAATTCATCAACAATAAAAGCGGACATAGGCAAAATATGAAAACCAAATAAAGCACAGTTTATACAAAATTAATTCAACTCAAGTTTAAGTCAATAAAGTGACCGTGCTAGAACCACCTGATTCGGGGAGTGCCTCGCACCTTCTCCCCGGTCAACAGAATTCCTTACCTGGTCTCCTATTTTCGTGGATCAATAAAAATAGATTCAAACTCTCCTTTGACTAGGGATTAAAATAAAAGGTGACTTGGAACACCCAAAAATCAATTTCAAGTGGCAACTCTGTAAATAAAATAATCCCTAATCAAATTTATTACTTCAATTGAAAAAACCTTTTAATACGCATATATTTTAAGTGTGACATTATTTCATTGATCAGAGAGATGTGTGAAAATCAACTTGTCTTCCTATGAAAATCTTTTCAAGTTGCATTGTATATGCCCGAAACAATATTACCTATGAAGCATCCCTCCAAATCTTATCAAGCTTATTCTTCAATACCTTCCTATAGATGGACATCCACCAGCATCTAAATTAAGGATACTCAAAGCGGATAAATGCGAATATAACAAATAAAAGATAATATTTTCTGATGTCGCTAGTAGCTTTCTGCAACTAGAAGTTGTGCATATTCAGAAGTAACCATGGATGATGTAATCTGCCTAAATTCAAAAGATAATACTTAGAGCACCTTAATTACGAGATTAGGATCTCAGAACGACTTGCAAAGTTAAAAATATAAAGATCCGAGAAATGGTTTAACATCTTAATTTGCTACTCCTATTAGTTATGTTTAATAATGTCAATAAGACGATTTTTCTATTTTTTACTCGGTTCATGAATCTTCATGTAATTTATGTCTATGTTAGCATAAAGGTGAAAGAATCCAGAGTAAAAAGTTAAAAGGCCAAAATGGTTATCTAAAGTTTTTTTTTTTTTTGCGATAATTTGTGAATATTACCATAACAAACCAAACAATTTACAACCTAGGAGCAGCCAGCTGTTCCAATCCACTAGGATCGGACTCTCTCTAGCTCTAAAAAAAACAAACAATGACAAGGAATTCTCATCTTAACTACTCTAACTACATATCCTCTGCACCAAAATTGGGCAGTTTCTAGCTCTTCTAGATCCTGCTAGCATGCTAATCCTCTCCCTAAGTTCCTTCTTAATTTGTATCTCTATAGATGCATTATTTACATTGGTCTTCCTGAAATGCTTCCAATTCCGAGCTTGCCAAGAGTAGTATATTATCGCCCCAATGATTGCTGCTGCTACTTCTTTCCTGAATTGCCTCCAGTGCCTATTCTTTATCCACTGCAAACTTCTGCTAACATAGGATGGAATGGTTATTCCTGACCAATTGAGCAATGCCACCCTTATATTCTGGGTCCAGCTACAGTCCACAAATAGATGCTGGTGAGTCTCAGGTTCTCCACAATCACACACTATGCAATTTATGTCCTCATTGATAGGAATGTTCAACCTCATCGGTCTTTCTTTAGTCATTAGCTTATCTTGAAATGCCAGCCAAGTAATCACTCTTTGTCTTGGCAACATTACAGCATTCCATATAACCTCTGGTTCCCTCAGCGTGGTTATGTTTCCCTTCAGTACTATGTAGCTGCTAGACACATAATACAAACCACTAGTGGTCAGTTGGTAAACTCCTCTAGTATACCATTGTGCCATAATCTCCTTCAGAGCATTTAGTTTTTTCCAATACCAGCTACAATCCTGTGGGGGTTGGTGCTCCCAGATGTTGTGATTGGACTTCATATAGACTTCATTGACCCATTTCACCCATAGTACATCCTTTTTAATAGCTACCTGCCATAGTAACCTGCCAACAGAAGTTGTATTCCACTGTTTACATTCCTTAATGTTTAATCCTCCATACTTTTGAGGTGTACAAACCTTTTGTCATGATACCAATGAAACCTTCTTGTGGCCTATGGAATTCCCCCATAAGTAATCTCTACATATTCTGTCAATGCTTTTAACCACACTTTGTGGCAAGATGAATACTGCTCCCCAAAAATTGTAAATGGAGAAGAGAACAACATTAATAATTTGTATCCTTCCAGCATATGAGAGTAGTTTGGAATAACCATTGCAAACTCTTTTTGTAATCTTTTCAACCAAAGCATGACATTCCACTTTGCTCCATTTCTTGGAGGAGAAAGGTAAACCAAGGTATCTTATAGGCAGTGAACCCAAAGAAAATCCTATGCAATTAAGAATTTCCTGCTTGCATTCCTCATCCATCCTTGCCAAGAAAATGTTGAATTTGTCTATGTTAGCCAGAAGCCTAGATACTGCACTAAAGTGGTTGAGTACTTCCATCATCCTGTTAATTGAGGCAACATCTCCTTTACAAAACAACATCAAATCATCAGCAAAAATTAGATGTGTTAGTTTAATCGCTTTGCACATTGGATGAAAATGAGAATCTGGTAGCTCACTCATTTTACCAAGTCCTCTTGTCAAGTAATCCATTACTAGAACAAATAGCAGGGGAGACATAGGGTCTCCCTGTCTAAGTTCTCTTTGCCCTTAAAAATATCCATATCCCTTTCTATTGACCTTGACAGTGTAACTAGGAGTTGTAACACAGCACATCGCCAATTGGACAAATGGTACAGGAAAACCATAGCCTATTAGGACCTCCTTCAAGAACTCCCAACTTGCCATGTCATATGCTTTTCTTAAATCTATCTTCATGAGGCATCTTGGAGTAGTTTTTCTATTATAATGTCTTAATATATCATGGCATATCAGAACATTATGAATTAAGGATCTGCCTTCTACAAAAGCTGCTTGGTTCCCTGCTACTATAGTTGGCAGTACTCCCTTCAATCTATGACAAATGAGTTTTGAGATGCATTTATATATGGTATTACAGCATGAGATAGGTCTGTATTGGCTTGCATTTTAAGGTTCTTCAACTTTTGGAATTAAAGCTATAATAGTTGCGTTTAGCTGCTTCAATAGCTGACCATTATCAAAGAATTCCAGGATTGCATTTGTTATTTCTTCTCCAACCACAAACCATGAAGCCTTGAAGAAACCACTTCCAAATCCATCTGGCCCAGGGCTCTTATTCATCTATCTGAAACATTGCAGCTTTGACCTCTGCATTGGTATATGGTTTCAACAATCCAACCTGTTGCTCTACTGATAAACATTTGCCATTCCTCATAAAACTCTTAAAAGCTTTTATCCTGCCAGAAGCTTTCTTTCCTAGCAGGTCTTTGTAGTAATCAGCAAATATAGAAGCAATTGCACTTTGGTCAGTTTGTACTGTTGATACCCAATTTCGCCCTCATATTTTTCAAATAGTATATATATTTTCAGCATGTCATCCTGCGTCACTATTTAATTTACAAGATTTATACAAGCATTTTTCATAATTTTCCACAATTTTTAGAGCTTTAAAACTAATTTTCTTGCATTTAAATTACTTGAATATTTACTAATTATTCCTTTATATTATTTCTGTGATGACCTAATCATCCAAAGTTATTATTTGCATCCATAATACATGTTTAATATTTTTTACTTTATTTTATATAGTTACATTAGTATTTTTAGGCTATTTGTACAATCTTGCAATACTAGCATATATTTTGCAACTTTATTGCATTTGTTCATTTTATTCTAAGGTCAAATAATAT